AGTACCACCACTTACAAACAGTTGTTTTTCAAAAGAGGTAAATATTGCTAATAGCTCTTTGTAGGATGATGCATCATTCATTGAATATCACGAGCATGATGATATTAGCATGAAAGTGTTATTCTTGTTATAGCTATTCTAAGTAGTTGTCACCCTGGTTTCAAGAAAACATTAAAAGAACAGCCTTAAAAATTAATTTCATAATTCACATTAGAAATATACCTACTGGGGAACAGTAAGGAGTAAATTTAGATGGCACAGTCTCCTCTCAGCCTGGATGGTTTAAAGCAGCAGTATTATTCTGTGTGCCCTGTCTGAGGTTGGTAAAAGGATATATCCGTATGAAAGTCAATGCAGTGGAGCATAAAAGCTTTTCAACAGGCAGTGTATCTTAAAGCAATCCAGAAAGTGGCACACACAAATTGACTCTGCTTATCCTGTAGCCTGCTGTGACTGCAGGGTGTTTCAGTAGACTTGGGGGTCTGTGTAGAACAGCATTTTTGGAGATGGGTAGGGTGGCCTGCTACTCTCAGCAGGGTGTCTGTGAAGGCAGCAGCTGTTTTGTGTTCATTTCCAGGCTAGTGTCTGAGAAACTGCACAAATAAGTCAATGAAAAATGACCCAAATTTAGACTACCATATTGTTACTTTGTATTTTTCATTAGTGTTTCTGGCACCTGTCTACACAGCATCTATAGGAGACACTTGTTACAGAAAAGGGGGTCTAGTGTGGGTGGGTTTTGTTATCAGCTGTATGAATGGAAGAGTGGAGAACACCTGCATGAGGGGAGGGGTGTGTGTGAGGTTTGGGGCCTTTGGAGATCAGGGCCATTTATTCTCATGTCAGTTTGATACCTGAGTTCACTCAGGGCTACACTTTTCTGGGAGAGCAAAATCTGCTGTGTTAAACTGGTAGTGGAAGGGAGAGGGAACACGGTCTTTCACCTTATTGAAAGCTGTGGCTTCCTTGAGGTTGAAACAGTGGAAAGCAGGCATGTTTGCAATGAAGAGTGTGCAGTGCAAGAAACTCCCTCTTCTCCCTCTGCCCTGCTCCCTGTCCTTTCCAGTCCTGCCCCTCTGCAGGTGATGTGGAATGGGGAGCCTGCCACAGGACACTAGTGAGAGAGGTGGGATCCATCAAATACTGTCATATGTCAGGCAGTGATGATGAGCAGTGACTGTCTGCCTGGACCTTTTGCGATCCACTGCTGAACAGTTTAAATCCCAAACTGCCATGTTACCTGTGGGAGAGCAGACCTCTGTTCACAAAATAAGAAAATAAATGGGCTGTTTTCCTAAACTGAATGCATGAATTGCCCGTCAGAAATTTATCCATAAGGAAGATCATAAGAACAAATGAGGGAGGTCATCTGCCAAGGTCTTAAGGATCTGGGCTTGGTTCTGTGTTTTTCAACAATTTTGTGAAAGGGAGAGGGGGAGAATAATGATGTGGCAAACTTTCATAAGACTCAGGTCTTTGGTGGAGAAGTGGTAAAAATAGAGTGTGTGACAAGGCATCCTACAAGACATGTGAGGCTGTTGCTTGAAGCAGTCTTCACAGCCATCACATCATCATTGTGGACAGGCTGAAAGAGCATTAGAGTTGGAGGGTGCTTGGTCTGTGGAATCTGGTTGGTAACGTTTTGCTTTTAGTTTTAAATTCACATTTGCTGAGCTGCCTACAGGATTAAGTCTAATGTAGGGTAATGCAGATATTTTGTCCAGGTACGTTGGCTGGCTGGTGCTCTCTGTGGAAAGATGAGCTCTAATTAGTAAAAACAATGGAGTGAAGAAGGCAGGAAAGCCACGTATGCCAGTGGGTCACAGAGGCTGCTGGAGAAGATCACCTTTCTACACTATCTTTCCTTGTCAGAGTCTTCTCCACAGCTTTGGGGAGTGATTGCAAGCTCTACTGGTCCTGGAGCTGAGGGGAATCACCTTCATCCCTAATGTCAGGAGACACACTGCCCAGAGCAAAGTGGGCAGGGCATTTTTGGCAGAGTCATTGTTCGGACAGCTTTCATCTCACCTGCATCCTACAGTGACCCTCTCCAGCCCTGTTTCTGGGGTCAGTAGCCCAGCTTTCCATGCTAGGTACATCCCTTCTCCATCTGGGGAGTGGACAGTGGGCCCAGAGGGGTTGTCTCTTTCTGGCCTGCCAGAGAGTGATTACTCTGAGCCCATCGTTTAACAGCATCTGGGAAAGGGAGCCCACCTGCTTTGGTGCTGTGGGACTGTCCTCTGAGTGCACTGGGGAGGTGATGGTGCTGTTTCATGGAGACTGCAGAGGCTGGTGAGATTCCTCTGCTTCCTTCCATCTTGCCACAAGTCACAGGAATACTTAGACAATAGACTGTAATATCTCTGAAAGACATTTGTCATATGGATGTGTTTTGGCAAGCATTAAGTGAAGGAATTGAAGGCATTACATTATTTATCAGAAGCATTAGCCTTAGGTAATGCACACAAACCCCCCACTTGTTCTTTATCTTCACATCTATACCTTGGTATACATAATTGAAAACCTTTTTTCAGTGGAAAGTAGGGTTAATATTTTCCAGGTAGAAAGAACCTTTTACCTCATAAGCTGCCAGATCTCTATGCCAGATGCATGCAAAACCACTTTGGAAACAAAGAGCGGCAGGTGAAAAGTGGGTTGGGTCATCCCACAAAGTGCAAGAATGGGGAAGAAAAATATTTTTAGCCAAAGACTGTAAGGCAAAGCCCTTCTTTGTGGCAGAAACCAGCATGAGGTCTTTCATGGCTGCACAAAGTAGTTTTACAAACTAGAAAAAATCATCTTTCACAAGGCCCGAACAGAGCAAATAGTGTGATATTCAATTAACCCTTCAGAAATACGGGTTAACATTGATAATTTATATGCGCTTTCAGACTGCTATTGATAAATTCTGGTACAAGATACTATTTAGGGGAGATTGCAGTAAGTGGGTGGAAAAAGCCCAAGAACTTGGCCAAAAAATAAGGCAAACGGCAGGAGTAAATGATCAGGTTTTTATCACAGCAGAAATTTAGTAGCTGGGTTCTCTGACTGTTATGTAATAGGGCTGTTGTTAAAAAAAATATTTAATAATCCTCAATTACTCATTTGTATTGGAAGGTTCTAAATGAATGCTGCTAGTTTAAGGGAGGGAGCAGGCAATAACTGAGCAGTCAGTAAAAACATTTATGTAGCATATAGAGGTCATTCAGGAGAGTAAATGTCTTGGCATGTAAAATATTTTAATGCCCTTAAATACATCAGCTGGATTTCTACACTGTTCTGAGTGTTCCGTTTGGTTCTAGTTATCCCTCGCTGGACTAAACACAAGTCCAGGAACAATAATGGGAGTGAGTAGGTGCATTTTAGTTGAATATATGAGTGAAAAAAGCCAGAACCGGTCAATTTAGAGTAAAGATGTACAAATGGAGATAGCAAAATTTACTATTACTTATAAAGTGGAACAAAGGAATAATTGATGAAATTGAAAGGTGAGACACTTTAAAGCCAGTGTAAAACATACAGCTCTTTCTAAATGTAAACTGCTGTTCACCCATGGAATGTTGCCTATTGTAGACATCTGAAATTAAGATTTTCATTCTGGTTGGCATTAAACACATCCGATATGTGAGAGAGAATAGGGAAAATGGCTGTGTAGAGGGGAAATCTTTTGTGTTGGAGCAGTTGGGAAGACATTTCCTAAGTGAACAAGTAATTCAAAAAATATGCTCCATCCTTTCCTTTTCTCTCAAACTGCTGCCGTCATGGGAGGCAGGCAAGTGCCCGGAATGGTGTGCAGGTGGGAAAGTGTATGTCAGTGCCTGTGTTTCCGCATGCCCAGGGGATTTATCAGTGCAGTTTGAATCTGACATTCCAGGGAGTGGTGATATTTTGAAGTGGATGCCTAAAGCATGGATTTATATCCTGTCTGTATTTTCAGTCATCCATTGTCTGTTGTAATTCCCTGGGGCTGTTAATTATATATATAAATCAAACAAAGTCTATGGGAGTGTCTAATATTTAAAGTGAAAGTCTAAGCCTTCCAGTGTCTGGGGCAAATTATTCTTTTCAGGCCTAACAAAGCTGGCAGAACTTCCAGTTAAGAGAAGGCCTGAACAATGATGTGTTTCAACTGTGTTTTATGTGATTTGTGCACTTTATGAAGTACTTGTAGAATAATTATTTTATCCCTGAAAACCTGATAGATATTTTTCTAATGGGTTTTGAATTAAATTTGCATTTGAATTGAGTTTTCTTTCAACAAATACATTGTTATCTCTGACTGAAATGTGGATTGAGGAATGACTTGAAACATAATACAGAAGTAGTGTTGCAGACCTCAGCAGCCTGAAAAATAATTGAAGTAAGGAATGTTAACAAGCTTGTCATCATCTTCCAAAAACTGACATTTAAGCTGATCCACATTCTCTCTTCCCCTTTATGTGGAACACAAGAACACATACATTGTGGAGTAACTAAAAGAAATGTTTGGTGGAGTTGGTTAAGAAACAGTGGACGTGTTATTTTTGTATTAGCTTTTGTATAGCCACATTTGAGCCTGTTTAAAAAAAAAAAAAAAAAAAG